CTCGATCCCAGGACCCTGGGATCATGACCTGAGCCAAAGGCAGACGCTTAACAACTGAGCCATCCAGGCGCCTGTCGAAACTGTTTTAAAAAGATTTTTATTATGATAAAATATACTTAACAAAATTTGCCATTTTAGCCATTTTTAATTGTATAGTTCAGTGGTATTAAGTACATTCATATTGTTGTGCAATCTCCACGGTCCATCTCCGTAACTTTTTCATCTTTTCCAACTGAAACTCTGTACCCATTAAACAACAACTCCCCATCTCCCACTCCCCCCAGCCCCTGGTACCCACTATTCTACTTCCTGATTCTATGAATCTGATTATTTTAAGTACCTCATTTGAGTGGAAGCATATACATTTGTCTTTTTTTTTTAACTGTATTCTTGTTTCTTGGCTTTAAATATAAGTTTCAGAATCAGCTTGTCTATTCTACAAAAATTTCTTCTGGGATTTTGATTAGCAATGTATTGAATATAAGTATCAGTCTGGGGAAGAACTGACATCTTAACAATATCTAATCTTCCAATGCCTAAACACTATTTCCCCATTTATTTAATTTTAAAGATTTCTTTCATCTTTATTTTGTAGTTTCAGCATACAAATCTTATCCATATTTTGCTAGGTTTTTACATAAATACTTCATGTCTCTTGGTACCATTACAAATGATATTATTTTTATTTCATATCAGCTTCCATTTAGTCAGTATTGTTCTGGTTTATGCTTTTTCCTTCTTTTATTTTCAAAATCCCTCAATTTTTTTCCTTTATGTCTCTTGTAAGCAGATTACAGATGATCTTTTTAAAAACACAACTTGAAAATGTCTATTAACAGTAGAGTTTAATGTTCACAGTCAGTAAAATTACTGAAATATTTTGATGGACTTCTACTATCTTATTTTTCTCTAAGAAAATTTACACTGGTTATTGAGCACACTCTCCGATGACCTGACAATCATTTTGTCAGTAAAATGGCCTCTTGAGCTCTGACACCCATAGCAAAGCCCTATAAAAATATTGTTGTTTTAAGAATAAAAAAGATGTAAGATTCCATTAAGGCCAAGTGTTCTTGTTAAATAAAATGCCCCAGCTGGGTGAAGAGGGCATCTATGAAGGGGTGTGACCCAGTATTGGGTGTCAGGTCCCAGAAGGGTGAATAGTACCCCTCAGCACTGAAACCACCAGGAAGGATGTCAAGCTCAAGTGGAATGGGGAGACATCTGTGTAGGAGAGAGGGTGGTGGCAGAGGTATGAGAGTGGAAACATGAAGGAGATTGATTGAATAAGTAGAGGAAAGAGTAATGGGAGCCACATTCCTCATGTCAAGGAAGGGAGTACAAATATATATATATTTATATATATAGAGAGAGAGAGAGAGAGAGAGAGAGAAAGGTTAAATCCTGTCATGTTGGATTGAATTTAAAATTTGTATGAACCCATGATGTTCCATGTGTACGTGGGTAGATAGAGAAATAA